ATATATATATATATATTTGTGTGTGTGTGTAAATTGGGTGAAAGTTTACAGAGCAAATTGGTTTTCCAATGAATTCCCACACATTTCAGCATAGAAGCATATAAAGTATGAGAAGAATGTGGTAAACAACCTTTAAATTAAAGCTGATTTTGAACCAGCACACTGTGATCAACTTAGTTAATCCTTGAGCCATAAACCTAAATAATCTCCCAAATCTCTAACCTTTAAGACAAAATATGACATTTGGTTAATGTCTACCTCTGGAGAGAAGACATAACATATTAGCCTCTGATGTTAAACATGACCCATATCATGTGAGGCCAAGGTGAGAATTTCACATATAAACCCAGAATTTCTTCAGAGTCACTGAGAGAAGGCAAAAGCAAAGCTATTGTTCCCTAGACTTTTAATCTTTCTGAAGACTGAGAGCCTGCTGAGACTTTACTCACCACTGTCAACCTAGAACTCTAGCTAAGGGGGAACCTCCACCACGCTCAAGCTATGGTCAAGTATAAAAGTTTAGTAAAAGCTGTAAGTCTAAAGATTTGGACTCCCAACTCCTGAACTACCACTTTGATTGTTTCAAAGCAAAGCTGTGAGGTCTTACTTAGGTGTCTTGTGATGACTACCTTGCAATAAACTAAACGAGTTTAAGCACAAGAAACCTGAGTATATCTGTTAATTTTCTAAGACAAACCCCACACAACAGGGTTGTATGGTAAGTGCATACCATGTTTTTTGGGTTTATCATTTTTTTTGTAAGAAACTGCCAAACTCTTTTCTGAAGTAAGTGTATAAAACCCCATTTCTATCAGTCATAAGGGAGTGCCTGTTGTTCTATTTCCTTACCAGTGCTTGGTACTATCAGTCTCTTTAAATTTGAGTCATTCTAGTAGGTGTGTTGGGAGCATGCTGACTTCATAGAATATGCGCTGGACTGTGAGTCAGAAGTTTTGCCGTTCGAGCCCACCAGCCTCTCTGTGGGAGAAAGATGAAGCTTTTTGCTCCCCACAAAAGATTTGTTGTTGTTGTTAAGTGCCATCGAGTCGGTTCCGACCCAGAGCAATCTTTACGGGAATAGAAAGCCTCATCTTTCTCCTGCGGAGCGGCTGGTAGTTTTGAACCGCTGACCTTAAGGTTCACAGCCCGATTCGCAACCACTACGCTACCAGAGATTGCCTTGGAAACGCCATACAGGGTTGTTATGTGGCAGAACGGACTCCATGGCACTTGACAACATTAGATGAATAGTTGTATCACACTGTGGTTTTAATTTTCATTTTAAGCCTAAGGTTAGTATCTTTTCATGTTTTTACGTGCCATCCTCCTATCTTATATGATGAGTTATCTATTCAGGTCATTTGCTCATTTTGGGGGGGAGGCTATTTGTGTTCTCATTATTAAGAATTCCTAAATATTCTGAATAAAAGGCCTTATCAGATAGGTAGGGTTTTTTCTCCAATCTGTAGCTTAGCATTTTATTTTCTTAAAAGTAGACAGCAGTTCTAAAGTTTAAAGTCCAATTAATTTTTTTTTAATTATTTACTTTTTGTGCCATACCTAAAAATGTTTCCCTAACCTTAGGCTTAAAAAAAATTCTCCTAAGTTTTCTTCTAAATGTTTTATCATTTTAGTGCTTTAATGTTAAGTTTGTGATCCATTTTTAATTTATTTATTCAGCTATTTTGGTATAATCCCATTTTTATTTCTTATTGTGATTTGAGTAAAAATGTACATAGCAAATTGGTTTTCTATTCAACAATTCATACACGTTCCATGACATTGATTGTAGCAGCACTCTTCCTGCTTCCTCCCAGTGTTTACTCTTTTGATTTGTCCTTCTTTCCTATCCTTTTTGCCTTTGAACTATCTCTGGGAAAATGGTCCCCATATGGTTGATTTCTATGGAATACATACCTTCCTGGCATCTTGTTTGCCATACAGGTGTCTATTGTTAGGCTGAAGGTTGAACCATGGGGGTAAGCTCAGTTCCAGGTCTAAAGGGTTACTAAGGTCCATAGTCTCAGGGGTTTTACCAGTCTCTATTATACAGGTCCTGGTGTGGCACTGTGGGTTAATGTGCCAGAGTGCAAAGCCATTTGAACTGCAAGGTCGGCGGTTCAAGCTCACCAGCTGCTCCTCGGAAACCCTATACAGGGTCGCTATGGGTCGGAACTAATTCAATGGCACTTCACAACAACAACATTAAACCAATACATCTGGTCTTATTATTTTGAAATTTTAAACACATTTTTCACATACTCTATCCAGGACCAGCTATTATAATTCCTTTCACAGCACGTCTGCAGTAGTAGGTGGGCATCATCTAGTTCTTTTGGTTTCAGGACAGTGGAGGCTAAAGTTTACAAGGTCCATTATCCTTTGGACCAATAGTTTCCATGTGTCTGGTTTTCTTCTTTGCTCCCAATGGCAAGAGACCAATAGTTTCACTTAAGATGATTGCTCACAAGCTTTTAAGACCCTGGTTGCTATTCACCAAAGTAGGATGGAGAGCAGTGTCTTTGCGGACTGTGTTATGCCAGTTGACACTGATGACCCCTCATGACTATGGTCCTGAGCCCCAGGCCCAGAGACTTAATTCCTCAAGGTGTTTGGTTATGGCCTAGAAGCTTTCATAACTTTTTGTTCTGTCTGCTCTAGTATGTATTTATACCACACACAAGTACTCAGAAATATGATCTGCTTTTAGGGCCTTTCTATGGCCATGTTCTACTACCCATACTTGTTCATCTTCACTGTCTACCTATGGATCTGCTCACAAACTAATGCTTGTCATTACTGATAATGCAGGATTGTTTATGTAATAATATTGATGTTGTCTCTAACTCTTATGTACCTCTCCAAGTCTTAATTTTCCTTAGTCATCATTTTAATAAGCATATTAACTTTAATATATGCAGTGAGATTCATTTTTTTAACCTAAGAATATATCCAATTTAGCCAGTACTATTTTCTTTATACCAACACCAGTCTTACTGACTGTAGTTTTCTTATTGTAAATAGTGCATTACTGATAAAACTTTTCTGCAGCAATCCACTTATCACAGACACATGTTTAACCATGTGTTATAGTTGCAATAAATGTATACATGCATGAATTGGAACTCTAGTAGCAAAACATTTTTTTTACTTATCCTCATATATATTCTATACACTTATGTATATTTGTTATGCTTCAACTTTGTGACAATTAATTTTATGGTATTGTCAAGACTCCATTGCCAAGAACATTGGATGGTAGCTGTATTGTATTTAAAAACAAAACAAAACAGTGACCCTATATGTTACATAATTGAACTGCTCCAACTTTCTTGGTTGTAATCTTTACAGAAATAGATTGTGAGGCCTTTCTCTCCCAGTACCAATTGGTGAGTTCAAACTGCCAAGCTTTAAGTTAGAGTTAATTGCAAATCACCACTTGTACCACCCAGACCTGTAGTTTATTAGCTATGTTGTTGTTGTTGCTAGGTGGTATCAAGTCGATTCCAACTCATAACAACTCTTTATAGGATTGCCAAGGAACAGCTGGTAAGTTTGAACCACTGACCTTGTGGTTCAAACCAACCTTGTGGTCCAGTGCTTTATACCACTGCGCCATACCTGGACTATAGTTAAAATCATAAACAACTAATTCTTAAGGTCATGAATAGCCTTTTCTCTTTCTCATTAGAGTGCAGTAGTTAGAGCACGACTGGTAATTCAGAGGTTAAAGTGCTCAGCTGCTGACTTAAATGTTAGTGGTTCAAACCCACAGCTACCCCATGGGAGAAAGATGTGGCAATCTGATTCCCTAAGGATTTACAGCCTTGGAAACCCTATGGGGCAGTCCTACTCTGTCCAATAAGGTTGCTATCAATTGGAATTGACTTGACAACAGCGGGCAAGGTTTACTATGTGGTAAAGTTTCAAACATTATCAGTGTTTCAGTATTAGTTTCAAGTGATTATTTGAGTAGCATATTTTCTACTTTGAATACTCTAATCCAGCTGGCCCCACTATAATTTCAAGGACGCCTAGATTATTACTTGCATAGGTGCCTTGGTGGAGGAAGCATTCACTTTTTCCACTTTCACTTCAGGTAGGACAACCATGGTTTTTGACATAGCCATTCTGCTTTGGTATGCACCAGCATATCCTTTTGGTGGAGTCACTTTTATGGGACTAGTAAAGCTAATAGACTTCCTTGTTTGTGGGTCGATGTTCCTGCATCAGGAAAAGAAAATACAAAACATAGGAATCAGGATTAAAAAGAAAACTCAAACAACAATAAAAAAAAGTAGATCTTCTTTTAGAAACACAAATAATCTTAACATATGAATAAGAATAATAGCAGCTATTTTCAAGCTCATAGGGTATAAGCATACTTCTACAGAGTTTACATCATTTTTCCCTTGCAACAACTCTACAAATTTTCTATTAGAGTTGTTTTATATACAGTTACTGAGACTTAAAGGGAAATAGTCCCACTATTGTTGACATTTGAACCAAGGTAGTCAGACCCAAAGTCTACACATACTTCTCTAAGTCTTAGTATCAATATTTACAAAATGCTGGTAATAACGGTACCTAATTAGTAGGTTATTGCAAGGATTAAATGATTTAATGCATGTTTTATAGTTACTATAACAACCTGGAATATACAAATGACACAACCTTACTTTCTGAAACTGAAGAAGACATAAGATACTAACTGATGAAAATTAAAGACTACAGCCTTCAGTATGGATTGCACCTCAATGTAAAGAAAGTATCATCACAACTGAAGCAATAAACAATATGGTAAATGGAGAAAAGATTGTAGTTGCCAAAGATTTCATTTTGCTTGTAACAGCTATCATCACTCATGGCAGTTGTTGTTGTTGTTGTTAAGAGCCGTCGAGTCAATTCTGACACATAGCGACCCTTTATAGGGTTTCCAAGGAGCAGCTGGTGAGCTTGAACCACTGGCCTTGAAGTTCAAATGACTTTGCAGTCTGGAGCATTAGAATAAAGTAACACACCAGTTCGGTGGTAGTCAAGAAACCAGATGACATATTGCTGTAGGCAAATCTTTAAAGTGTTCAAGAGCAAAGATTATCAGTTTGAGGACTAAGGTGTGTCTGAAAAAACTATGGTATTTTCAATAGCCTTATATGCATGTGAAATTTGGACAATGAATAAAAAAGACTGTAGAAAAATTGATGCATTTGAGTTATGGTGTTGGAGGAGAATATTAAAAGTACCATGGAGTGCAAAAGAACAAACAAATCTGTGTTCGAAGAAGTACAGCTAGAATGATCCTTAGAAACAAGGATGGCAAGACTTTGTCTCTCATACTTCAGATATATTATCAAGAGGGGCCACACAATGGAGGAGGAAATGGTGCTTGATAAAGTTAAGGGTCAGTGGAAAAGAGGACGACCCCCAGAGAGATGAAGTGTTGCAGCGGCGCAGCAATGGACTCAGACATAACAACAATTATGAGGATGGCACAGGACCAGGCAGTGTTTTATTCTAGTGTACATAAGGTCGCTATGAATCAGAATCAACTCAACAGCAACTAACAACAAAAAAACTCTATGCCATCAGTATTTTAAATACCAGCTGGGTCACCAGAGTGGACAGGTTTCAGCAGAGTTTCCTGACTAAGATAGACTAGGAAGGAGAGGCAGACTGCTTCTGAATTGTTAGCCATTGAAAACCTTATTAACAATAGCAGAACATTGTTTGCTATAGTATGGGAAAATGAACCCCTCAGGTTGGAAAGCACTCAAAATATGATGGGGAAAGAGCTACCTCCTCAAAGTAGAGTTGACCTTAGTGATGTAGATATGTTTAAGGGCCCTTCATTTGCTGATGGGGCACAATTCAAAATGAAAACAGCTGTAAAATTCCATTAATAATCAGAATGTGGAATGTACAAAGTATGAACCTAGGAAAATTAGAAGTCATCAAACATTAAATGGAAGGAATAAAGATTGCTAGTATCAGGCATTTTAAAATGGACAATCATAGGTTTACTATGGCAGGAAGGACAAATTGAAGAGGAATGGTGTTACATTCATCATCAAAAAGAACATCTCTAGATGTACTTTGAGGTATAATGCTGTCTGTGATAGGATAATATCCATAGGCCTACAAGGAAGATCAGTATAATTTGAATACCATTACTCAAATTTATGCATTAATTACTGAAGTCAGTGATGATGATACTAAAGAATTCGACCAACTTCTTCCGTTTGAAATTGATCAAACACAATCAAGATGAATTAATCATTACTGATGAAAAACTCATTTACAATCTGCAATGTGCAGATGACACAGCCTTGCTTGTTGGAAGTGAAGAGTACTTAAAGTACTTACTCATGAAGACCAAAGACTATTGCCTTCAGTATGGGTTGCATCTCAATGTAAAGAAACAAGTATCATCACATCTGAAGCAATAAATAAAATCATGATAAATGAAGAAAATATTGACGTTGTCAAAGACCCATTTTGCTTAGATCCACAATCAATACTCATGGAAGCAACAGTCAAAAAATCAAACGATGTATTATATTAGGCAAATCTGTTGTTGAATAGCAAACATGTCAGTTTGAGGACTACGGTGTGCTTGAACCAAAAGATGGTATTTTCAATTGCATCATATGCATGTGAAAGTTGGAAAATGAGTACAGAAAATTGTAAAAGAAATGATGTATTTGAATTATGGTGCTGGTGAAGAATATTGTAAGTACCATGCATTTCCAGAATGGAATACAAATTGAAATCTTTCAACAAATTGATGCAACACTCTCTCATCTATGCCAAGAAATTTCCAAGACAGCTACCAGGCCAACTGACTGGAAGAGATCATATTTGTGCCCATTTTAAAGAGAGGTGATCCAAAGAAATGTGGAAATCATTGGACAATATCAGTAATATCACATGCAAGTAAAATGTTTCTAAATATGATTAAAATCTGACTGAAACTGTACATTGACAGAGAACTTCCAAAAGTTCAAGCCAGATTCAGATGAGTATGTGGAACAAGAAGCATATCATTGCTAACTTCAGCTGGATCTTGGTTGAAAGCTGAGAATACCAGAAAGATACTTACCTGTGCTTTATTGACTATGCAAAGGTTTTCAACTGTGTGGATCATAAGTTATGGACAACCCTGTGGAGAATGAGTATTCCAGAACACTTAATTGTGCTCATGAGGAATCTGTACATAGCCTACGATGCAGTTGTTTGACTAGAACAAGAGGACACTGAATGGTTCAAAATTAAGAAAGGTGTGTGCCAGGGTTGTATTCTTTCACTATACTTATTGAATCTGTACACCAAGCAAATAATTCAAGAAGAATTATATTATGAAGAACGTGACATCAGTTTTGTATGCAGATGATACAACCTTGCTTGCTGAAAGCAAAAAGGACTTAAAATACTTACTGATGAAGATCAAGGCCCACAGCCTTCAGTATGGGTTGCATCTCAATGTAAAGAAAACAAAAATCCTCACCTCTGAAACAATAAACAAAATTGTAATAAACAGATAAATGATTAGATTAATGAGTTCATTCTGCTTGGATCCACTGACAACACTCATGAAACCAGAAGTCAAGAAAACGAACAACATATTGGACAAATCTGCTGTACAAGACCTCTTCAAAGTGTTCAAGAACAAAGACGTCAGTTTGAGAATTAAGGTGTGCCTGACCCAAACCATGGCATTTTCAGTATGCATGTGAAAGTTGAACAGTGAATAAGGAAGACCATAGAAGAATTGATGAATTTGATTTATGATATTTGAAAAAATATTAAAAATACCACGGATGGTAGAACAAACAAATTTGTTGGAAAAAGTATAGTCAGAATGCTTCTTAGCAGTCAGAATGGTGAGATTTCATCTCTCATACTTTGAATATATTACCAGGAGGGGTCAGACCTAGTGATGGATATCATCGCTAGATGATAAAGTGAAGGATCAGTGAAAAAGAGGAAGACCCCCCAAAGAGATGGATTGACACACTGGTAACAGCAATGGACTCAAACTTAATGATTGTGAGGGTGGTCACAGGGTCGGACACTGTTTCATTCTGTAATGCATAAGGTCGCTATGAGTCAGAACAGACTCAACTGCACCTAACAACAACAATAATAAAAACTGGGAAAGAATGTAGTGTTCTTGCCTCAATCATTCTTAATAGGAAGTTATAATCAAAATATTTATATTAAGGAAAAGATATACAATTTTACTTTTGGGGTTAGCCTGTAAAGTCTTATTTTTTATTTATTTTAATATTCTGATTGTACTAAAGATTTATAGGAAAAGAGGTGCTATTTCTTTACATGATGAACAAGTATGGAGCCCTGGTGTGGCACTGTGGGCCAATGCGTCACAAATGCAGAATCATCTGAACTGCAAGGTTGGTGGTTCAAGCTCACCAGCTGCTACTTGGAAACCCTATGCAGAGTTGCTATGGGTCGTTGACCCGACAGCATTTAACAACAACAACGAACAAGTATAATCACAAAGAATTGTTAGCAATTATTTTACTTTACAAATCATATAAATTCAGACTTAAGAATAAAATATTTTAAAT